GTGTCCGAGGGCTCCTCTAGCTCCTCAGTTTCTAGTACCAAGTTTGAGGCTACCCTACTCAAAAGCTCCTGATGAGCTTTGATATTGTCCTGGGGGACTATAGGTGGGGGTTCCATGATGGCCTCATGAGGGGACGAGGAGGAGGATGCAGGTGCAGCAGGTGTCACCGCCTGTGATCTGCTCAGCAGGGCCGTCTTCCCCTGTATGTTGCATCTGAGGGGGTTCCAGGCACAGTGGCCTCCGTCTCAGGCGGGCGGGAGACTGTGGCCGAAGGCTTATTGGAGCCTCCCAACACTGATTTATGCCCTTGGGACAGGCTGTGGGAACCCCCATGGATTCCAGGGGTGCCATGACATAGGCCATTGGCCCTGGGCCCATGATAATCCTGACGGTGCTGCAGGGAGGACCGGTGCCGTCAACGGAGGACCTTGACCCGCCTGCAGGGGTTCTTGGTGCGACTCTGAGCCCTGAGATGGAGGGCCGTGTTCTGGAAACTGGGACCGCACCGAGGCTGACCAGGTGTCCTGGTCCCGGCTGCGTTCACCTCCATGCTCCGAGTGGGATCCGTACATTGGCAACAACCTACCTCATTGAGATCCCAGTGACCAGCGTCGGCATTCGGAGTATCCGCGGCAGTACCCCGGTGATATACACTGCGATGTTGAGTGTCGATGCTGGTGTGGCGACCTATATCTGTAGGCTGGTGATCATTATTGAGAGTCCTGATAGGGGCTTTCGCAGGATCGGTGTCGTACTGAAGGGGAGTGGCTATGACGCTCCCAGTACAAGGGTCACAGGCTCGTGTGTGCCTTGGTAGGTCTATGCCACACTATCGGTGACTGACACTTCGAGCCCGCAGAGTGATGGCTGGAATCTGGAGACCAGCACCGAGGGCTCCAACTAGTAGGCAGCCCTATGTCCAATGCGCGGTGGCTGCCAGTGGGTGAGTGGTGGCTGCCAGTAGGCGAGCGGTGGCGGGACGCTCCCTGAGGTGGCAAGTGAAGCTGCACTGACGGGGATGAGGAGTGGTCCAAGAGCAGGCTTACCCCTTGATTTGGGAGCTGCCATCACCAGTGTGGGTGGCACCAGGAGGGACAAGATATCCTGCATCACCTGCAGGGCCTCTGGCATCTCCACATGCCGGGATGGGCTAAACCGCTCAACTTGGAGGTGATGAGCCGCCCTTCGTGGGTCTAGGCTTGCTTCCCGTCCTCTCCTGCCCTTGCGAGCAGGAGACTGACCTCTCCCAGTCTTCCTCTTCTTGCTGGCCAGTGCTGGGGAGGTGGATTTTTGCCTGTCTGACTATGGTACCGGTAGGGTGCTCCACACCGAAGCTGTGGTGCTGTGTGCAGAGTCCGATTGCGGCTGCTCCGGTGCCGGTGTCAGCGCCGACTCCATGAGAAGCCCCTTTAAGTCGAATGTCCCACTCTTTCTTAGTGCGAGGCTTAAAGCTCTTACAGATGAAACACCTGTTGCTAATATGAGACTCCCCTAAGCACCTTAAACAACTGGTGTGGGGATCACTGACCGGCACAGGCTTTTTACACTGGTCACAGTTCTTAAAGTCCACAGAGCGGGGCATGACCCGTCCGGGACACTACAACTAACTAACTAACACACACACTAAGGGAACTAATACTAACTGATATGACTATTTACTACAGAAAGTTCACAACTAACAGATCTGGAGAAGGAAGGTTTGCTGAAGCAAAGGAACATGCCAGCACCGTCACTGGCAGTAAGAAGGAACTGAGGGTGGGGTCACCTACGGATACCACTGAAGGAAAAACTTCCGGCACCGGTGCATGTGGCAAGCACACACCTAACATGGAATGGACATGAGCAAGCACTCAAAGAAGAACTATAACATATATTTAAATATAAATGTAATTAATGGAAGAAAGGGGAATAAATATAATGAATATTCATACTAATGAAAATAAATCTGAAGGTATGAATTGTAGAAAAATAATAAGGGAAGCAAAAGTATGAGAAATATGTGGCCAGCAGAGTTACAGACATTAAGAAGGAGTTTTTAAAGTATTTTAGAAGCAAAAAGAATCCTAACAGTAGTATTGGTCCATTACTAGATGGAAATGGTAGATCTGTCAATAATAATGCAGAAAAGGCAGTAAATATTTCTGTTCTGCATTTGGGAAAAAGTCAGATGATGTAGTCACACCAAATGATGATGAAATACCTTCTATAGCACTAGTGTTTTAGGAGGATGTTAAACAGCACCTACTAAAACTAGACATTTTGAAATCAGTAGGTACAGATAGCTTACATTCAAGTCTTGTAAAAGAGCTGTCTGAGGAGCTCTGGCCTATAAACGCGGATTTTCAGTAAATCTGGGGACAATGGGGAAGTTCCAGAGGAAAAGTGGAAAGTCAGTGTTGTTATAATATTTAAAAAGAGTAAATAAGATGACCCAGGTAATTACAAACCTGTCAGCCAGTCATCAATCCTGGGCAAAATGTAGGAACAGCTGATATGGAATTCAATTAATAAAGAATTAAAATAGGGTAATATAATAAATACAAATCAACATGGGTTTATGGAAAATAGACCATGTCAAACTAACATGGTAACTTTTTTGATGAGATTACACGTTTGGTTGACAAAAGGTAATAGTGTTGATGTAATATACTTAAGACTTCTGCAACGCATTTTATATGGTACTTGTACACGATATTTTGATGAAGAAACTAGAACAATACAAAATCAACATGGCACACATTAAATGGATTAAAAGATGGCTAACTGATAGGTCTCAAAATGTGAATTGCAAACAGGAATCATCACTGAGCAGGTGTGTTTCTAGTGGGGTCCTGCTAAATGCTATTCAACATTTTAATCAACAACCTAGAAGAAAATGTAAAAACATTACAGATAAATTTTGCAGAACAAAGACTGGGGGAAGGGCAAACAACAAAGAACACAGGTCACTGATAAAGCGTGATCTGGATCCCTTAGTAAGCTGGGTTCAAGCAAACAGCATGCATTTTAATATGCCCAAATGTAAAGCCATATATATAGGAACAAAGAACACAAGAGATAATTACAGAATGGAGGACTTAATCCTGGGAAGCAGAGACTCTGAAAAGGGCTTGGGGGCAATGAGACAATCAGCTGAACTTGAGCTTCCTGTGCGACCTTATGCCCCCAAAGCACTAATACGCTCCTTGGATGCATAAACAGGGGAATATTGTGTAGGAATAGGGAGGTTATATTAATTCTATATTTGGCACTGGATGACTTCTACTGGAATATTGTGTCCAGTTCTGGCATCTACAATTCAAGAAGAATGCTGATAAATAGAGAAGTGTTCAGAGAAGAGCAACAAGAATGATTACAGGATTGGAAAACAGGCCTTTTAATGGCAGACTCAAGGAACTCAATATCTTTAGCTTAATAAAGACAAAGTTAAGGGATGACTTGATTACAGTCTACAAGTACCTATATGGGAAACAGAAATTTGATAATGGAGGGCTCTTCAATCTAGCAGACAAAGGTATAAGATTCAAAGATTGGAAGTTGAAACTAGACAAATTCAGACCAGAAACAAGGTGCTCCTCCATTGGGAAATGGAGACAGTCTCTGTCACCAAATGGAGAAGGTCCACTGGGGGCATGATGTAATGATTTCTCTCGTGATTAAAATCCTCAAATAGGCAAATACCTCCTTCACTCTGGACATGGCCTTTAAAGTCTGGGCCTACTAACTTTCCTAGATCAATCAGTCCTTCAGGAAAAGAATCATACAAATTCCATCACAAGGCAGGGCAGCTGACATGAGGGCCTTTTGCATACGAGACAAATGCACCAGTTTAATTAAATGTATTTGAATTCAATGTAACTAAACTGGTGTAAACTCCTAATATTTAAACTGGTTTAAGCCTCTCTTATATTAGCTTAAGTTGGTAATTTACTGATGCAAGCTAAATTGACATAAACAAAGTTTAAACTGGTTTAAATGTGTTTATACTAGAGGTTTCACTAGGCTAACTAGTTTGATTTTTTCTTCTTGTACAGATCAGGCCTATGGTTTTCACAATGATAAATTGAAAGGGAAGTGGTCTTTACACCAAATGAACTGATAGCACACCTGAGAATTTTTTGGCAAAAAGGGCCAACTCGGACATGCACAGTAGATAGGTATCCTTTAGATCCACTGAGGTCAGAAATCCTCTAGACAGATCTTTGCAATCACAAATCTTAAGGCCCGAATCTTGAATTTCTGATCTTTCACAAAAACAGACAATTCTGCTGTAAAAGAGGAATACATTTTTGATGTAATCTTTGACTCCTGACTTTCCTTAGACCACATCCAGGCTGTGACTAAATCCTGATGTTTCTTTTTCCACAATATATTAGAAATCCCACTCTTCCTATCTGTCTTGATGCTTGATGGCTTGTCCTCATTCTATTAATTTCCTTTCTTGACTACTGCAACATCCTCTCTCCTGTCATCTTGATACCCCCATCTCCTGCTTATAGCCTTTCCAAAATGCTACCACTAAAATAATCATCCTTACCAATCATTCATATCACATCAACCCTCTCTTTGAATCTCTTCATTTGTTCCTCCGTATCCATTGCCCTGCATATCAAATTCAGCCTTCCTGCTCTAGTCTTCAGGGTCAACACCATTCTGCCCTATCTAGACCTACATCAATGGTTAGGCAGCAACTGAGTTGGAGTTTTGCAGATTGCTGTGGAGCCTAAAGCTGGGACACAGACACTTAAATTTGAGTATTAGGTGCATGAAGTACCTTTGTGGATCAGGGCCTAAAGCACTGATCCTGTAAACATACACAGGGTTAAGTTTAAGTTCAAACATTGGCTTCAGTGGGACTACTCATATGCACAGGTATACATATTTGCAGGACCAGGCCCTTTGATTGCAAATATCTTAAAGCACACAGTTTAACCACCCACCGCAATGACGAATAATACAGTTTAGCAAAGCCCATAACAAGGCAACAGAGTATCACTTACACAGTCTTTTTGTCCTGCCGCAAGAGTTTAGAAGAAAATTCGCTAAGCACTTCAAGGAAAGCAAGGTTAGGAGGTGGATATTCTTGTCCTTTTTGATTCTGGTATTTGAAGGCAAATTCTATGCCATCTCTATAGTAAAGAAAGATGTAAAATGTTTACAATTTTGTGAACAATTTCCTGTACTGCTGTAAGCTTTTTATTCCTTTTAAGAGTCTCAAAAACTTTTTTAGTTCTAGTCCCACAAATACAAAATAGAGATTTTATTTTTAAAGAAATAGATAGGGAAGTCAAAGGAACTTTTAAAATTTATAACATTTTCAGTGACATAGCAAACACATACAATTGGCATCTGTGAATTTTACTCTCTCTCTTCCATCTTTTTAATCTAACTTATTTTTTTCTCTTTTCTCTTCTCTCTTTATATTTTACTCTTCATCTTTTCTGTCTCTTTTTCTCTGTTCATTCCTTTCCCGTCATCCTGAAAACAGCTTGTGTCAAATTAAAATAGGTAAAGAAATGCTAAACATTTAAGAAAATATTTCTAATATTATTCCAGTAGTTCAATTTAGTACACTAACTAAAACACTTTGCGCTCTTTTACATGCAGTACTTAATCATTCTGTTTATAATGGAAATACATTATAACCTTTAGCTATAGAGACAAAAATAAAAGTGCAACATATTGTATTTTTATTTATTATATATTGCACACAAAAAAAGCTACTTTAAAAGAACATTATTAAGGTTGCGAAGTCAAACACTCAACAGTTAAGGAAATGTCATTTATTACGGTTGCTTGTGCAACCTTAATAGGGACTCTGTGTGCGTATGCATAATGGTACAGCCTTTAATAACACATGCATTCATCATGTGCCTCTGACCTCATCAACTGCACTCTGTCCGCCAATGTTTCACTCCTCCCAGAATTATTCAAACATTACAAACTTCTGAGGAAATTCAAACTGCTACCATATTTAAAAAATCAACCTCCACAAAAATGTGGGAGAATCATGTGTGGAAATTCTTTCTTCACACCTAATTAAAATACTCTGTGGTACAGGATTAGCACTGTGACCCTGCAAGTCTAGAAAGAGAACTTCTATACCAAATGGAGATTCCCATCTTTCCAATGAGTCGAGGCATTTGCTCATAGCCTTGGGTGGTTCTGAGATAGTGAACTTTAAAACTATAACATTTTTATGTGTGGAAAAGTTAAGCTCATTTTAAGAGGTAACTTATATACCACTTTTTCTCTCCCTCCGAACCAGATACGCTGTGTAGTTGCAGCTGTGTTGGTCCGAGGATATTAGCGAGACAAGGTGGGTGAGGTAACATCTTTTATCAGAAATTGGTCCAATAAAAGGTATTACTTCACTTACCTTGTATCTCTGAACCATTTAGTTAGATAAAAGAAACAGTCCATATTTTAAAATTAAGTCTCCAAAACATTTCTAAAACATTTTTTTTAAATAAAATATGTGGTGCATGATGAATCCATGATGATGTGGCATAAAGGCTTTATTTCACTTGTTTGGTACAGCCTGCATAACTCACATATGGCATTGTAATACATATGCAACATGGCCATCTCAATTTCATCATGATAAAAGCTTTGTATTCACATCATCATCATATAGCCTCTCTATGTTCACATACACGCACCTGTATTATATTTACAGACACACACACACACACACACTCACTCTCTCCCTTCCCTTTTGGGAAGAATATGCTGAGGCAAACTTTTAGTTTAATTGAAGACCGAGTATTTCACACCACTCACTTGTGCAGCGTGGCTACGGCTTCTCTTGTCTTTATCTGATCCAGCCCAAAGGTGAGGGCAAACCTACGGGCCAGTTCCTTAATCCCACTGACATGGGCAGACGTCCTGTCCAGATTGGGACCTTGTTCCTGAACAAGCTCATTAAACAGCTAGAGAAAGAATTGAAGTGTTAAAAACCCATGAGATAGGAAACATTTTTCTAAAGGATTATTTCTTTAACAAACGAGAGCCTTTCCATTGACTTCAATGGGGTTGGATCAGGTCCTGTTTTAGCAGCTCCTGAAGTAGGAATCACAGGGGAAAGCTGTAACTCTCAGTGCAAATTTCTCACTCATGTAACATTTCTGAATAAATAGGTTACATAATTGATAAAGAACCTCATTTTAAGAAATCATCTTTGAATGGAGGTGTTTCTAGTGGGGTTCCACAGGGATCAGTGCTAGGCCTGTTTTCAACATTCTGATTAATAATCTGCCAGTAAATATAAAGCAACTGCTGATAAAATTTGTGGATGAGACAAAGATTGATGGTGTGGTAAATAATGAGGAGGACAGAGCAGCCATACATAGAGATCTGGATCAATTGGTAAACTGGCCCATTCAAACAAGATAGGAACAAGATATGTGATTCTTGAAGGTACATAAAGGGGAATAGTGAGTAGGCATAAGGAGATGCTGGTGAGACCAATACTGGTGGCCCACAATTTAAAAAGGATATTGAGAATTTGGAGAAGGTGCAGAGAAAAGCCACAACACTGATTCGAGGGCTGAAGAAAATGCTTTAAATTAAAAGATTTAAACAGCTCAATCTGTTTAGTTTATCAAAAAGAGGACTAAGTGACCTGATTACAGGGTATAAGTATCTTCACAGGGAGACAATACTGTATTTAAAGAGTATTAAACAGCTCTTTAATCTAGTGGAGAAATGCATAACAAGACCAAGTGTCTGGAAGCTATGTATAAGCAGAAGCAGGGCCACAGGAGCTCACAGTTGAGAACTATTCAAATTTGGCAAGCAGGAGCACTGGTGCCCCCAAGCAGAACTTGACAGAAGTTGTGCCATGACCTATTTCTTTATGAAAAACAACAACATCACCTAGCTCTTATCTAGTGCTTTTCATCCATAGATCTCAAAGTACTTTACAAAGGAGGTCAGTATGAGTATCCTTATTTTACAGATGCAGAAACTGTTAGTAAATATTAATCCTTTTTCCAATTATTCTCATATATTAAATTAATTTGCACATTCAGTATTTTCCTACAATCTTTTAAAATATTAGCAAAAAGGGTGTCTGAGTTCTAAGACCCAGAGTGTTGGTTCTTAATTCGTAAGTGATTTATATTCAGGAACTTCACGTGATCAAGTATTGGACTGTACCTCATTATTTCTGGTGCCTCCGAATCTGTGGGAATATAGATGTCTAAGGAAAAGACCCCTCAAACTGTCAAAAAGTGTTTACAGAAGTATGGTTTAAACAAGAGTGGGTGATTCATAAGGGGTGCCTATGATCTAATTATGTTCTATGATAAGAGGCACTTGTTATTGCAGATATTTTCTGTAATGGATGAAATAAGGATCCACTGAAAGATGTTTTTAAATCAGTTGTGTCAGCTGTCAGTAATAATGAGCGGATTAGAATTCCCTTTGTCTTAATGTAACCTAAAGATACCATAAAAAATCCATAAATAAATAGGTAAAATGAAAATGTCAGAAACAGAAACAGTGAAATTAAATGTGGGAAAGCAATTTCCCCTCCAAAATGGAGTTTCTTTGTCTTTCACACTATAAAAGATAGAGGGCTTGAAAGGTAAAGCTGGGGAGTGCAAATCCCACCAGCTATAGGAGGAGAGAGAGACAGAGGCTCTTTAGCTTTCTCCAATGGTGATGATGTACCTATTCTTCCTGCTTTCTGCATAATGCTGTACTAATCTCAGACTGTTACCCTTTGATTAAAAAGTTCCATTTGAGCCTGTTATTTACTTCAAGCACGTGACAGAGGCAGACAGAGGGGAAGTAACTTGCCGAAGGTCATCCAGCAGACCAGCGGCAGAGCTGGGAATAGAACGCAGGTTTAAGAGTGAGGGTCGTTACTCACTGGAACAACTTACCGAGGGTTGTGTTGGATTCTTTATCACCGGTGAATTTTAAATTAAGGTTGGGTGTTTTTCTAAAAGATATGCGCTAGGTCAAACAGAAATTTATTTCAGGGAAGTTCTGTGGCCTGTGTTATACAAGAGATCATGGTGGTCCCTTCTGGCCTAAGAATTTATAAATATCCTGAGTACCAGTCCAGTGGCCTCTTCACTAGGCCACAATGCCTTATGTGGAAAATGTGATGGCTGATTGGCATTGTGGAGAAGAATCAAGAGGGAGCTAACAAGTTGCTGAAGTCTCAGAAATATGTGGGAAATAGATTATGGAAGTGATGCACTGTCAGGAGAGCTGTGTTTAGACTGTGGATGACAAGGATGTAGAGGAGGACAGAGAATATGACAGCTATTAAGGGAAGGAAAAAACATGAACAGAACCACTGACCATTGGCATCCCCCAAAAATATTCCCCCTGCAAGCAGGTGGCATTTCCACCCTGCTGCGAAGTCTGAATACACTTTTATCAGGGGTCACTCATCCCTTCCCTCCCCTGGGTTTTTGCTTTATTGACAAGATAAATAATAACAACTCAATATAAACTCTACTACAAGCCATCTCGCCAGGCTGACTAATCTTTAGGTGGCTTCTATAGGACCCCTCTGTCCCAAACACTAGACCCCTCTGCTCCAAAGAGCTACTTCCACCTCCTTTATATTCAGGGTGGAGTTAATGGACACATCTGCTAGGAGTCATCAGGAATGAATTGGTATTTCCCTGGAGGGTTCCAACATCTGTTAACAGAGATTGACAACAGGCAAACCCTGTAATTCTGTCACACCTTCCCTCCCCCAGTCAATTTAGATGAAGATAAAACTGAGAAGTGGCAGAACACAGTTGATTAAAGGGAGATGTTGAAATAGAGATGAATAATATTTTTGGTGACTTGCTAGTGAAGGATACGGCCAAGGCCATTTGTAATCCACATAAAAGCAAAAAGAAAGTATATTGCATGCAAGGTTCTGGTAAGAGATATGATGAGCAGAGCAGAGGTTATTTTGGAGAAAACTGATGATTTCTATTTATTCTGATTCCAAATTAGCTGTTACCACTCAAGACAGATATCTGGAGTCATTGTGGATAGCTCTCTGTAAATATCTGATTAATGTACAGCAGCAGTCAAAAAAGCTAACAATGTCAGAAACCATTAGGAAAAGGATATTAAATTTAATGCCACTATATAAATCCATGGTATGCCCACATGTTGAATACTGCATGCAGTTCTGGTCACCCCATCTCAGAAAATGGTTCATTAGACTTGGAAAAGGTAAAGAGAAGGGCAACAAAAATGATCAGAGGTATAGAGCAACTTAGATATAAGGAGAGACTAAAAACACTGGAGCTGATCAGCTTAGAAAAGAGATGACTAAGGGGGGATATGATAGAGGTCTATAAAATCATAAATGGTGTGGAAAAAGTGAAGAGAAGAGCTATTTACTCCCTCACATAACACAAAAACCAGGGGTCACCCAATGAAATTAATAGGCAGCAGGTTTAAAAAAAACATGAGGAAGTATATCTTCATATAACACACAGTCAACCTCTGGAAATCATTGCCAGGAGATGTTATGAAGCCAAAGAATAACTGGGTTCAGAAAAGAGTTAGATAAGTTCATGGAAGATAGGTTCATCAATGGCTATTATCCAAGATAGTCAGGGATGCAACCCCATGCTCTGGGTGTTCCTAAACCTCTGACTGTCAGAAGCTGGGACTGGATGACAGGGGATGGATCACTCACTAATTGCCCTGTTCTGTTCATTTCCTCTAAAGCATATGGCACTGGCCACTGTCGGAAGACATGATACAGGGCTAAATGGACCATTAGTCTGATTCAGTACATCCATTCTTACGTAGTTCAGCTATTACCAATCTTGGATCAGTGACACATGATAGTCTCAGAGAGTGAAATTCACTGCTGTGCAGATGGCCAGCCCCAGCCTCACTTTTGCCTTTGAAATAGGTGGAGAAAGAACCTCTTCCCAAAACAGACCTTCTGCACAGTGGTGAATTTAAGAGATTAAAGAAGTGAAGGCTAGGATGGATACTGGAAACAAACTGTATGGTAAGCCAACAATCCAGAGAGGGCATTTATGGGTTTCAGGAGCACTGGAATGACTTCTATAATGAGAGAAGATTCTTAAGTACATGATTTCCACATATGCAAGAGGGTAGTATTAGAAATACACACGATCTCAACAATGGAAAATATGACTAAGGGTACATGAATGAAATGTAGTTGCATTTTTTTCACATCTGTAATGTTAATATTGATAGATACAATCCATATACCTGAGGCACCCTTAAAAACTTGCTAGTTACCTTAGATACCTAGATGAGATTACCTCAATATAGGAACTATTCCTAGATATTTCATTCAATATTTGTCAAAGAATTAAAAAACCCCCAACAATCTGCAACTTGGTAATAAAAAAAACCAGCCCCAAAACATGACTAAGGATATGATAAATAAGCAACAAAGTAAAATCATTACACAGGACCCAATCAATGAGGAGTTTTAAACCAAAGGATACTGTAATCAGTAGGACTTTAACTAACTAAGATGAAGCTAAACATGGATTATCACGTTAAAACATTACACAGAATACATTTACATCTTCATGAACATATCATAGATAATCCACCCAGAGGAGAAGTCATCCTCAACCTACTTTTTAATCAATAAGGGAGGACTTGCTTGAGAATATGAGGATAGCAAGGAAGGTTGGAATCAGTGGCCATAAACTCCTTGAACTCAACATACTAAAAAGTAGATTCTTGGAGGGTAGCATGAGAGAAATGTCAAATTTCCAAAAAGCAGATATGGATTCGGGGGAAGGGGGGCGAAATCCATAGTCCCCTCCAACTTCCATTCAAGTTAATGGAAAAACACCCACTGGCTTCAGTGAGGTTGAACTGGACCTTTTGTTATCATTGGTGAAAGGAAAGGAAACCCCAAATTAACTCAAGAATGTAGAAAGCTGAAGAATCCAATAGTCAATCTGAAAAATAAATAAGTAATACTAAAAGCAAGAAGAAGCTGGCATGACTTCACATGGGATGTAAAAGAACCTATATTAGGTTACACAGAGTTTAAGGCCACAAGGGACCATTCTGATGAACTAGTCTGAACTCCAGCATAACACAAGCCAAAGTATTTTGCCCAGCAATTCTTGCATCAAACCCAATAACTTGTGGTTGAACTAGAGCGGATCTTTTAGTAAGACACATCCACTCTTGATTTAAAGATTTAACTGATTGAGAACCCACCACAGTCCTTGGTCAATTGTTCTAGTGGTTAATTTCCCTGACTGTTAAAGAACTGTGTATTATTTACAATTTGAATTTGTCTAGCTTCAAATTCTAGTTACTGGATCTTGTTATGTCTTTGTTTGATAGATTAAAGAGCCCACAAATATCAGATGCCTTCTTCTTATGTAGGTACTTATAGGCTGCGATCAAGTTAACCTTGTAACTTTTTGCTTGATAAGTCAAATTGATTGATTACTTTAAGTCTCTCACTGTAAGGAAAACATTTCCAGACCTCAAATCATTCTTGCAGCTCTTTTCAGTACCTTCTCCAAATTTTGGGCATCCTTTTCGACCACCACCACCACCAATTCAAGTAGTAGTCTCACTTCTGACATATATACATAGGGAATTTAACTTCCCTAATACTTGATATTCCCTGTTAATACATCGAAGGAAAGTGCTCAGGGGATCATCAACAAGGGGAGTGTTTCTAGTGGGCTCCTGCACAGACTGCCAAGCAATGGTAGGTAAATAGTATAATGGCTAACAGGGGTCAGGCTGGAGACTCTTGCCTATATGCTC